AAAAAAAAAAAAAAAGAAAAAGAAAAAGAAAAAAAAAAATGTACCATTAGAAATTTAGTATTAGTAACAACTTATTAGCATTAGAAGAGTCTTGAAAATGAAACAGGACTGGCAATAAGCAACTCAGAATGACTTTATGACAATATCCTAAACAAGGGAATGTTTTGATTTTACCGAAACTGAAAGAGTTATAACAGCTACTCGAGAGTAAACACAGGACAGAAAAAACTAACTTTTTTAACAGAAGATTGGGTATATAATATCTTCGAACAATTGAGAACATAAGTTTTTTCAATGATTCACATTCAATTAATATATGATGATTCAATTAACCTCCCAATAAATCGGTAACATCAAAGAGACCTATCTAACAGAAAAAATAGTGACGAACCTAATCTCATAGTATTTCCCCTCTGGAGGCCCTTGACGCCTTAAATCATCCATAATGGAGAAGTAAGAATAGTAACAAACATCCAGAAAATCCCTAATTATCGTGAAGCTTGACTCGAAAGTGCTCCAAATTCCATCCTGCGAGAACAAAACCTCTAATTCTGACATTATGAATAGTAAGGAAAATACGATAAACGAATTAGACTTGGCGAGATTTTACGTACGAAAATACAGTGATAAAATTTGTCCGTCTTCCCTTCCTCAACTGCCTGAAAAGTGGCAAACATTGGTGCAAGAAGGCCATATGCGGCCCCACCTATAACACTGCAAGCAATCCCGATAGGCGGCCATGCTATTAGGATGGCAGGAAGGAATATGCAGAGTATGAGCTTCAAAGCCGGTCCGAATTTTTTTGTACTGAAAGAAAAAAGATGTTGATTAGAATGTTAAGTTGAAGGAGAAGTGATACAACAAAAAAAATTGAATTACTATTATATAATGTACCTCAAAATGCAATAGTAAGTATAAAAGCTGTGGATAGGCCAAAGTCCGAATATTATGCTAGAGGCTCCGGTTATTATTATGAGAAATACCACTGGGAACATAATGATACCTGAATCAAGAAATGACAAAAAATTATAACAACTTTAGCTAATTCGCGAAATCCATGATGACTGAACTATAAAGTAGTCATTTGTGAAGCACCCATTTTCCAAAGCTATAAACGAAACCAGCACGGTAAAGGATTCCATAACTTCCCATTTTAAGTGCAAGAAGAAAATTTCAACATTTAATTCAATTGGAGAAAAACAAACCACATATCAATGTTCAACTATAAATTGAGTCCACCTGAAAAAAAGAGAATAGTGCCTGCAACTACCTCACTCTTTTCAAACACATAAATCACCATTGAAGCAGATCAAGAAATCAGACACATGCCATTCACCGGTTACCATTTAGCTAATATTAGAAGAGGGGGAGGAGGGTGCGGTCCCACTAGATGAAGCGCACCATAAGAGGGTGAGCCTAGATACACCTTATTGAGGTTCCATCACAAAACCATGGGAGGAGTAACCCACTAGGCTTATATACTAGACCCATTTTCCCTATAGAATCAATGTGGGACAACTCACAAGTGATATTCCAACAGCTAACAAAGACACAATCTACATCTATGGGAAGCACACAACAGAGCTAAGAGTATGCTGCTACAATTAGAAACAAAAAATGAAAAAATTAGAAAAATTACAGTACAGATAAACAAAACATCAAGAAACGCAAACCAATAAAACAGAATAGGCAATTACTGTAAGCTACGAACCTTTAACGAAGCCGAGTACGAGGAGGCCAACGAAAAAAGGCAAGAAACGGATGAAGCTCCATGAAGAAGCCCACAAACCCCTTGGGGGTTCCATTCTTTCTCTTTGATTTTCAACTATTCACCAAAAAAAAACAACACCCCATTCGATTAAAAACTCGGTACATAGTTAAGAACATATGGGTTCTCAAAAAAGTGTTAGCTTTTCAAGTAATAAAATTAAAGACTGTACCTCGCTTCGAATCAGATGCCAATGGACAGTGATGGGTTCTTTTAGGGCCCCCTTTTCATGGATTATGAAAATTGAACAAGGCAAATAAATATTTTATGAAAAAAAAAAAATTGAAACGATGCCTTGAAATTGTCGAACCAACGTTTGGAGAAAAGCAGGATTCATGGCGAGGTTTAGAAGAAAGGAATACATACAGTCGGACTCATTTTTTACAGTATATTTTATTATTACACAGCACTTCTCGCTATCTACGAAAAAAAAAAAACAAACAAAAGGCCCATATTTTAATAACACACAGCAACTTTCCAGTAGGTGCGGTTCATCGACATCAGTTCTCTTCCCACTAAAACC